CCCCAAAACCCCAAAACCCCGTTAAGCAAGATAATCTGAGACAAAAAGAAGTTTTGAATTCAAGGCTGATTGAATGAAGTGAATAAAGTTTTATTCAAGTGTATATATCAAAAAAACAGCACCAAACAAAAATATAAATCAGCAAAATTTCAAAATTATTTTCATTTTCTATATCCATTCGACTGATTAAGTACAACCAAGTCGCTTTCCATTGAGTAACGTCTTTGCTTCTTGGTTTTGATGGGGGGACTAAGCAAAGAAGCACTCTTTTACTTGAAAATTTTAGGCTATTCCAAATTTGATTCGTCGCTATTTGTACAGCTCTTAGTGATAATACTACTACTGAGGCTGCACATACTGTCTTTTGAAGAAAACTTCTTTTCTGGAGTGCAATTCTAACTCTTAGATTAAACTGGATCCTGCACCAAAGTATCTAGAGATTTTGCAGAAAGGTAGTGATGCAAGTCTTGCTCGTACAGGAGTGTCTGTTTTAATGAATTATTCTTTCTAAGGGACTCGCGAAGGCTAACGACTGATCCAGAAATTTCAAATATCATTATACTGATCATAAAAATCAATGCCTCGAGCTCGAATGTCCCTAGATGGTATCCAGCTACAAAACCTGAAAGTGCAAACATGTCGTAGAAGATCCTTAAAGCAAACAGGATCTTTGCTAGTTTCGTTTGCGTTTCTTGGTCTTTTAGGGGTTTCTATTGCTGTTTGTACATGTAGTAAGTCCAGAAAATAAGGCACTTAATAAGGTAGGATTTAGGGATGACATCCATTGATTCTCTGTTGTAGAGATAAATGTACGGCAATGCGACCACTTGCAATATCAAATATGAAAACAAATCCAAAGTCACTTGAATATTGGGGTGTGAGAAGTCTTTCGTCTTTGTTTTGGAATTTTTATTGGTATCTTGATACTTCGAGGGGGTTGTTAATTGTGATTGGATCTGGGGTCTCATCTAATTTATATTAAATCTGCTCTTAATAATTATTATTGCTAAAATAATTAAATATTTGCATTTTTAATAGTCAAAATTTAATGGAGAACCGAGGTAAAATCTTTCGACTTGCTAAGATATCCTTAATCTTACTAAACTATAGTCACCGTGTACACGCAGTATGGATACGCACAGGTAGACTTAGAAAAGTATAAGGATGACCTTAACGGTTAGAATTCAGCCTCTACCTCCCCTGATAAGAATTCAAAAGAAGAACAAGATAATTAAAAAGATAATGCAGGAAATCAAGATGGGTAAATTAGTCAGATTTAGTAAAAATCTTTTAATGAGAAGATCCTTGAAGTGCAATTCAAATGGGGCAAGGGATTCATTTAAGTAAGTATATGCAGAAATCAGTTATAATAATGCCATTGAGTGCTAGCATATCTTTCGAGATTTATTGGATTTTTACGTATTTTTAGAAACGAGAAATTCGTACAAAGATAAAAGTGAATGTGAAAACCTTCCATGGAAAACGACAGAATTATGAATTTACAGTTTTGATTGCTGATAAACTCGATAAACTGAGGGAACTACTCACTCAGAGAGAACCTGAAGAGATGTCTAGTTACCACGTGATCAAGATAGTATATCCAATGGGCACCATGAGACATCTCAATTTAGATCAGACCTTTGAATAGTAAGAAATTCCAGGAGGAGCTTAGTTAGTTTTACTGGGATAGAAATCTTTTACTTGGGATCTTAATTATAAAGGTTCTAACATTCAAGTAAGTTTCACTTTTTTCTTATCTTTTGAATCAAAATATCTCATGCTAACTATAGTTGCTCAATAATTGCCTAACTGCGAATAAGAAATATGAGATTGACTATGAAACAGTACTGGCGTCAGTAGGGTTTAATAATGGCAGACATTATTGGGAAATCAAATTGGATACATTCGTAGAAATGGAAGATATATTCGTGGGCATCGCTCGTAGAAATATAGATTTATACACAAGAGCTTGGGATACAGGATCTTTTTGGGGTTGGATTTGTGCTGGGTAAGTCCAAATAATGTTAAGTTCTGTAATTAAATCTATTTCGAAATAGGGGTCGAAAGTTTTGTCCTTCCTCTCCAGGACCAATGGTGCAGGAATATGGAGGATTCTCAAAAATTAATGATGTAGTTGGAGTGCTATTAGACTTTAAAGATGGAGTAGGGTCTCTATCTTTTTACAATAATGGGGTAAGAATTACAATGCTCATAGTGTTTTTAGCAACATTTGGGAACAGCTTTTGACAATATTCCTCCAGGAATATACTACCCTGCAGTATGCATGTATTATGGAGAAGTATAGGTTACTCTAAATCCAACAGCAAAACTTCCCTAACCAAAAACTAGTGAATAATGAGGACTCATACTTTATAAGTAATGTTATGGCAGATAAGAATATCACATGCATATGCCCTAGTGTATAATTGTATATTTATTTCAATTCAACTTTATTCCTACTATCTCGAGCAAACCATCAAATTCAACTCACTGGGGTTTTGGGGTTTTGGGGTTTTGGGG